AGTGGTCACTAATAGTATTTCTTTTTAAATTAAATATTGTTTGCTGTCTTCTATCAAATTCTAAATTCTTGAATGGTGCGTAGTAAACTAAACATGTTCCATGTTACTTTCTCAAAAACTAATTTGAGCAGAACACAATCTAAAATACCAAGGATGTTATACTTCAGTATAAAAATGTCTAAATTAAAAGAATAATAATTAAAATCTCGCTGTAGGGGTGGTTGTTAAACAATCAGATTTAAAAAGTATGCGCTTGTCAATCCGCGACCTTTATATTGTACCCGAACTTTTGATTCTAACTTTTAAATGCTACGTCATTTTATAATTGATACCGAGGCTCTTTTACAAATAAGTTTCTTCTAAAGTTATTTCTTCTTACTGATAAGCTGTTTAATATAATGTTTTAACAGATTATTTTTATACAATTATCGCGCAATTTTTATAACACTCTGCTACAATAGACAGTAATAAACACTTTTGACATCATACTTTGCGCTTGTTGTAAAAGCTTTCGAATTATTGGATTTTATTTAGTAATAAATATTAGGGGTTAAAGTATGAAATTGCCGATTTGTACTGAAAAAATAAAATTCTTTTTTTTTTCTTTCATTTAACATATTTATTGAATCAAAATATCTACCATTATTATCTATACATTGCTGCCATATAATAGGAAGGTCATTTATGCCTTTGCGATAAAACTCTGGTGATCTAGATTCTACAAACTGCGTGAAAGCATTTTGTACTGTCTCCTGGGAAGAAAACTTTTTATCACGTAGAAAATTGTCCAAATGACGAAAGAAAACGGTAGTTGGAACAAGGTCTGGCAAATACGGAGGGTGACGAATAGTTTCTAAGTGCAATTTCTGCAGAGTTAAAACGGTTTCTCGTGCTGTATGAGGTCTCGCGTTATCATGGAACTATAATGATGAAGATCGATTCATGAGTCGGGACTGTTTCACTGCAAGTTTTACTACCATTTATTATTCGGAGCATTATTGTAGACATCTGCCGTTATTGCTTGACCAGATCGGAGAAAGCTATAGTGAATAACACCATGCTGAGACCACCAAACAGTTACCATTACCTATTTATTGGTAAGATTTGCTTTAGGACACTCTTGCGACGTTTGACCTGAATATTTGATGATTTAATGATCGTTTTAATTTAATTCTGGATTGTTGAAGAGAATGAATGAAAGAAAGATCTGGTGAAAATCGCTGGGTCACGTTGGATGCAGGTGGCAACGGACCAGCCGCAGTGTACATCAGTTGGAGAGGCCTATGTTCAGCAGTGGACAGCAGACAGACTGAGATGATGATGATGAAGAGAATGGGGTGCATTCTAAGAGATCTACGCTCAGCATTTTGTAGACACGGGTTAAAGAAGAGAAGAGATGAATACTTTTTAACTAATTAGTTAATTGTGTCCGCTTGTTTATTGATGTATTTATAGGTTCTGTGATATTTTCAATGAAGTATTTCCGATTATGATTACTTGCTGAATCCCGTGTCTTCCATATATGTGGACACCGCAGATGGCTTAGTATTCTAAATTCAGCAATAAAAAGTGGTATTGAACCATCTCATATTCCTGCGGATGTAGCGACTAATGGATCCACCGGAATGTGGACAGCAGCATTCTCTGCGTATCGCCAACTGGAATTTTATATTGATTGGGTTGGAATTGGTGGTAGGATGTATCGTGAGCCCGCACAGGTGTGCACCGTCATCCTGCCTACTTCTGTCGCGAAACAACCAAGCTTTTCAACTTAAATCATGTCATGTCTCAATAATAATATGCGATCATTCACGTTAAGATGTCTGTGGGCTTCGAAAAACATTTCACAATAGATGGGCCGTGGCCCCCTTCCCCATTGATGAACTAAAAATTAAATAAATCAAAATGAACATGAAAAGCTAACATTCGCAATGTAAACTGAATAAGGCGCTCCCTCTCGTCTGCTCACACACTTGTCAATAAAATCGATTGGCACGTAAGAAAATCATAGCTAAAAACCTCAAAAATGAAACTGTAACACCATTATTAAATATTTCAGTAGAAAACTCGTGATGGAAACGAAAATAAAATTTTATTTTTGAATCCGAAACAAAGATAACGTGTTTTTGAGGTAAATTTGGTACAAACGTGGGTGAAGTTTACAAGAAAGTAAAGAATCGTTTTATTGATACACCTGAAACACGGATTCGCACGAATGAATAACTGGATCGGCATCCCGTGCCTTGTTCCAGAGGGATTTTCCGTTGGAATCGAGATCTAGGGCGGTGTGAAAATGGGTGTTGGCTTGACGATGCCTTAGAAGGCGTGGTCAAACGATCGAGAATAGATCTTAAAAACGTTGAGGTGTTTTTTTTAAGATTGCACTCATTACACGCGATTCATAATGGTGGGAATGTTTATAATTAGTTTATATAGAAAACGTGAAATTACAGTAAATAGCTGAGTCGGTATGTTAAATTTTCATTACGGCATGACTCAGCCTGTTTTATTACTGTTATAGCTATGGACGAGCAAACGTGCACTCGCCCCACACGATGTCAAGTGTCCACCGGAAGCACAGATAGGTAACTTCACCGACCTGACATCGGGTACAACTGTCAATTGTGTTATAATTACATCTATCATATTCTTCAAAACGGCATATATGAATGATTGCTACAGAAATAGGTAAAAAGGGTTGTACGTACCCATGGAGACTCGTTACCAGGGTAGTAAATATATGAATGCCAAGTATGACTTGATATGGTGGTAGGACCTCTTGTGAGTCCGCACGGGTAGGTACCACCACCTTGCTTATTTCTGCCGTAAAGCAGTAATGCGTTTCGGTTTGAAGGGTGGGGCAGCCGTTGTAACTATACTGAGACCTTAGAACTTAAATCTCAAGGTGGATGGCGCATTTACGTTGTAGATGTCTATAGGCTCCAGTAACCACTTAACACCAGGTGGGCTGTGAGCTCGTCCACCCATCTAAACAATAAATAAAAAATTACAAAACCAGGCATCGTTACTGAAGATTTCACATGTCTGGCATAGCAAATACCTATGTGTACATTTTCTCGTCTCGTATTGTGTGAGTCAGTGTTTTCATTTAGCAGCGAATATAGATGAACTGTACTTCGCATTCTGGTGTGCGTTCGTAAACATAGACACGCTTATTGTATGAAAAACTCTTCAGTCATGTTCGGAGATATCAGAGCGTTGTAAGGACACACGAAAATGAAATAATCGAAACAGATTTCGAGCAGTAGCGGAACCGATTGACAGCAAACTTACTTGAGACCTTAGAACTTATATCTCAAGGTGGGTGGCGCATTTGCGTGATGTCTATGGGCTCCAGTAACCACTTAACACCAGGTGGGCTGTGAGCTCGTCCACCCATCTAAGCAATAAAAAAATGCTCACGTTGACGCACCAGTAGAAGGGTAATTTTCGCGTAGACAAGAAGTAAAGTTCTTTGTGCGAAATTTTCGTTCGTAGAGTCGGTCGCACTGTAGCGGGATTTGTAGCTATTTTCGTAGAAAAAGTGCTACGAATGCACACTTTCATTTGAAATTTTTATTTCACGACTAACATAGGAATCATTGAAAGGTTTTAAATAAAATTATTCTTAAAAAGGAACCAAAACTTTTAAAATATAAACGATACTTAACATTACTTTCAATTCTTAGAAAAAAATTAGAGTAGCAAAGTTGCTACTTACTAAATTACTTAATTTATTCAACTTTTACTACATACTATTTTAGGTAAAATAAAATTATTCCACACATAGGAAAATTACCTGTCAGACACCCAATTGTCAGATTGTCGGTATCGTGGCCTCGAGGATAAGACGTCTAGTGCATTCGCAGCCAAACAGTGAGACTTCGCCTTTAGAACGCGATAAAAACAATAACACAATATTGTAATAACATCCTCTAACAAATAAAGTTTTCATAGTGAAAATAACGATTTTTCGAATTAAGCCGAAACTCTGATCAGTCTCTAAAATACATAAATAGATATTCGCGTCTCACAGAATTTCAAATTCACCCATTTATAAGGATGGAACCTTTGTTGGATAGATGGGAGGGTAAATAAATTATTTAAAAGTATTTTATTTATGTTATGCTATGAGGTTTGATACTTTGCCCCTCCTGCCTCCCCCAGATCAGGCGAAGTTAGGACATTCCCGTGAGAGTGGAGGGGAGTCGTTTGAAAGAAAAAAAGTAGTTTGATACTGGTGCCTAATGCGTATGGATGCTTCCGTACAGTCATCAAATTATGACAGACGAAGTCGTGACTTGAATTAATCGACTGAGTTTCTCGCCGAATCTTTTCAGTGAGTCGCGTTTCCGATCCAGTGGTAGATTCTGCGAAGCACGGCTCTTGCTAGGGTTCGTGTTAGCAACGTCGTCAGGCTTGAGCCCTGTGAGCTCACCTACTAGTTAAGGTTAGATTAGCGGCTTGGCTCTGCCCCTGGCATTGGAGTCCATGGGTGACAGTAACCACGTCAGGTGGGACATGTGCTCGTCTGTCTAAAAGGGCAATACTTTGTAATGGCCTCTCAAGGCTATCAGCATAGGTAGAAAAAAGAAAAAAAGGTAGATTCTGCGAAGCATTGCCGTTGCAAATTTGCTCAGGTTGAGCCACTCACTTACCCATCCGCGCGTAGCTGGTATAGCTCCTTAAGCTATAAGTGAATAGGTAGGCAAAAAAGTGGCAAGCAAACGTTGGAAGAAAGCCCACAATAGCTTGTGGGCTGAACATCGTCGCGCCTTCGTCACGCTGTATTTGTAAATTCTTTTTCGGACATTTATTATATGCGGGTCTAAGGGAAAATCTCTTCGGCGTCGCTCCAAGCTGCAGCAAGGAGTAGTCGAGCACTAAGCATTCATGTTCTGTTTTAGTGCTTTTTGTTTTTCAATTAAACTAATTAAATATTTTTTTATAGTTATTCAATGTTTGTAGTAACTTAATAAAATAAAATAAAATAGTGCAGATTAATTTATTTATTTTGCAATCCTTAGAAATATTAACAAAAATTTACAATGAACTTACGACTAATCATGTCCATCAGTTAGCTTTTAAAGCTATTAAGTACACACGCTAAAATAAATAAATTAAACAAAAATCAAATTGAGATTCCATGCCTTTGGCACTTCGGCAGACTAGGTCATATCTCGCTAAAGGAGGCACCGTGAAGAGAGCTAAAATACAAAAGAGAAACCCACAAAAAAAACCTTGCTTGACTAGGAGCAGTTTCAACTCAAAAATTAACCCTAATGGAATTTAACCTATATCACAATGTAGGAATTGCGCATATTTTATTTAAATTACGCCCTAAACTAAATCGCCGACATCGTGAACCTACGATCCAACATACGACATTGTCAAATTTCTTTTAAATACATTCTTAAGTCTACAAAACTGATCTTACTAGAAGTAGGTACTCTTTTAAGAAATAAATAAAATTTTAACTAGCAATATTTCCTACACGTTAATATTTACACATTACTTTTTACATTCACAAAGAAAATTTTGGGACTACGTCATCAAAATTGTTACAAAATCACATATCAATTAATACCTTAAAAGAAAACTGGATGCGTTATGAGAGTATGTCTCCATCTTCCACGCACGCCTGCATCTTAATTATATAATTATGGGATATTATGGACATACTATTTTATTGTTTGACACCAATCTCAGCAAACAGCTAGAAACCGAATTTAGGCTAGCCGTTTTCTATTTAAATTAATATACATTTTGACATGAGCAGCCTTATAAAATAATTGAATTAACATCTTTGCGTACGTCTAATGCCAATAACTTACTTAAAATACTCTCAGTAGAATAATACTTGTCAATTTTTATAAACCTACTTGTGTGCTTAGTGCGAGTTTTTTAACGTTCTCGATAGCGTAAAAGTTAACTCAAATTTGTATGGAGTTGGAACAGCGCCCCTAGCGGCAAACGAAGGGAAGCTGTTTGAACTCCATACAAATTTGAGTTAATCTTTACGCGATCGAGTAGTTAAAAAACTCGCAATAAGCACGCTCACCGGACAAACGTTGCTTCACTATGCCGACGATGGGACAAAACAAAAATACTGAACTTACATAATTAAGTACCCGAGATAAATAAATAAATAAAAAAAACATACCAAAAAGTGATACAACACGTACCTACACAAACACCATTTGGCCCCTTTTTGATATAATCATAGAAAATAATAAATAACTTACAATTTATAATACTGTTTAAATTCACAACTTATCATTAATTTTAAGACACATTATCAGTCAGTCGTTGCGTATACTGATTTAGTATCATCATAATCATGTTTAGTCTAGCGTCATTGGTCCGTCACTATAATTCAATGCCATCAGCTGTATTAGCTTGAGCCGTATTCTTGGTGGAGTCTTGGTCGCCGCTGCGATCTATATCTTTTCACATTTGCAATGAGCTCGGTTCCAAGTCATGTCCGTCTATAACAAGAGACAGTTACATTGTATTTAAGGAAACTCGTTAACTGAGGACAAAAGCGGTGGGTATGGCCTTAAACCATCTGGTTTCAGACTGCAGATGATGTAGTTATCTATTTATCGCACCTTTAGAATTGAAGTTGCTTAATTAAAAATTCTTGTTCTTTTTGGTATAAACGCCAAAAATGTAATTGAAGAATTGTAATTTTCATACTAAGATTTTAATACTTTAAAACTCATATCTTAGAGTTTAAAGTACGCGCTTGATTTAAAAGAAACGGAGAGTGTACTTTGTCCTTTTTCGACTAAAATTTGAATTTAATTGTCTAATTAAAAAAAATATATTATATATTTTATAAACTGATAGAATATAAATCTAAATATATATAATCTAAACATATAAATCTAAATATAGAATATAAAATAATAAATCGGTCAAAGTATAAAACTCATTTTCTTATATATTTTTTAGTTAAGTCACTTCAATTCGTAAGTTGCTATATTTCATCATCTACACGTGCTTAGGTAAATTGGCATTTTCACCGGTTTTTTCTTTTTTTTTGTGCGAGATTAAGCCGCGGTGAAACTGTTTCAGTGTGTAACATCAAGGTTCCATTGATGGCACTCGTCAACCGTATATAAATTACATAGGTCACGGAGGATTTTAAACCACATATCCTTTTGTTGTTGTAACTACCAATTATTAAAAATTTAGGGCGTATTGCTAACCCTCGAATGAGTACCACCGTCTTGGCTGTTCCTGCCGTGATCTTATGAGTTTCGGTACGACGGGTTGCATAGAAGCCGTTTATAATTTACACTTCAGCTTATTAAGGTGGGTGGCGATGTTCACGTCGTAATACCCAGTGGTCACTTAAGATCCGATGGGCTCGTTCGTCCATCTAACCGATAGAAACAGTGACTTATTGGTGGTTTATTGACACTTACACTCTAAGTGTAGACACAGATAAGTTATTGATACCATTTTAAGTCACCGCTCCTATGGATTAAAAGAGAATAATGTTGCTGAATAACAATAAAACAACAAAAAAACAACAAAAAAGCAAAAAGAAACAAGGTTTAAAGACAATGGATGCCGGTCGAAGCGTAAGTACTTTAGATGAGGCGGTTTTAAACATATGTGCACATGACCATGCATTACGAAACCAAAGTGCCATTAAACTGTTGTAAAAAAATGTGAGTTAAATGTTATTCTTCTTTGAGGCAAGTAACACAATAATGTCTAAAGCTCATGCACAATTAAATAGGACAAAATGACTAAATATTTCAATTTGATTATGCTGTGTCGGTCGTATATTTTTGTGATTACATTTTGCAGGTCCTTTCATCCAATGCATAGCGCATTTGCAATCATTTGATTAAAATAAAAGTTTCATAATTCCCGACACGGAAACCCAATAAAGAAATGTAAGAGAAAAGATTTGATGTTTTTTAAACCATCAATTACTCCATATGACTTTCCATTAAATCGCCTATAAAACTACCCTCAAAAGAAGAATAAAGAGAATGTGATATTAAAAAATATATATGAACAAGCTTATTATTACATGTTAGCATACAAATGTTTAACAAACGCGCCCGTAATTAGTATTAGACATCCATCATCTTACGAACCTTCTTGACGCATTCCCTCCTGTCCTCGATATTGGGGCAGTGGCAGCTGCACTTACGAGGATTGAACACCCTGGGGGAGACGCAGTGGTCGGGACTAAGGGCGCAGCACCCACACTTGACGTGCTCCTCCACCGCGTACGTGGCACATGATTCTTTATTTGTGTTTCCATTGTATATTCGTACCTGTTCGAAAATATGATAAGATTATAATTACATTTATTACATATTAATTACATATGTTAGTTCGTCGTGGCCTAAAGGATAAGACGTCCGGTGCATACGTGTTGAGCGATGCAAAGGTGTTCGAATCCCAGGCGGGTAACAATTTTTCTAATGAAATACGTACTCAACAAATGTTCACGATTGACTTCCACGGTGAAGGAATAACATCGTCTAATAAAAATCAAACTCGCAAAATTATAATTTGCGTAATTACTGGTGGTAGGACCTCTTGTGAGTCCGCACGGGTAGGTACCACCAACCTGCCTATTTCTGCCGTGAAGCAGTAATGCGTTTCGGTTTGAAGGGCGGGGCAGCCGTTGTAACTATACTTGAGACCTTAGAACTGATATTTCAAGATGGGTGGCGCATTTACGTTGTAGATGTCTATGAGCTCCAGTAACCACTTAAAACCAGGTGGGCTGTGGGCTCGTCCACCCATCAATGCAATAAAACATATATATATATTAAAAGAGGGCGGCTTATGAAGCGGCTGAAAAAGCCGAAGCATGCAAATACAGGGATCTAGGCTCCGAATATGTTTTTGCACCATTCAGTGTCCAGACCTTTAGTCCGCGGGGTCCTAGCACTATAGACCTTTTTAAGGAAATAGCAAAAAGGTTAATTAATCGACATCACAGGAGACCGAAGAGCTGGCGAAAAAGGGGAGCAAAGGGAGAACGGTGCCAGTATTTTCGGAACATTGCTTAAAGGGACTCCTTTTATTAATATATTTTAGTTATTATAGTAATATTACTATTTTTTAACTTTTTTAGTTTTAAGTTCATTGTTAGAGTTGATTGTCTCATATTATTAAAACAGCTTTAGAAGCCACAAGTGAGTGACATCTTCACATCGTAGGAGGCTTAGTAAATCCATAATCCCTGAAATAGAAAGAGCCTCGCCACGAGTCAATTCGTGTGTTATCTGTCAGTTTGTGTTTATAATACGCTCATTAATCGTTAGTCCTTGACACAGTTATTACACGATTGTCAACTGATTGCGACATTGTTATTATTGAAATGACATAATATTCTGAATAATTTTTGTGTACAAATGTTTATTTTGTTTTCAATTGAAACCTTCAGGTTTGCCTGGAAATTTGTAAATTGCATATATTACACGATAAACTCTTAAATTTCGTGGCTTTTTATTCAGTTTGCCCGTAATTTACGGTTTTTATGATCACTGAGGCACGTGCTATGAGTTGATTGGCATTATAAGGGTCGGAAGCACCACTGTGCCTATTTTAGCACTAATGTTATCAAAAGTTGCGATTTGGTAGTACGGCTGTTTGTTGGTCTATTTACTCGAATAAAAACGTGACAAAGAGCAGAAATTTGATTTTTTTTATTACTTAGATAGGTGGACGAGCTCACAGCCCACCTGGTGTTAAGTGGTTACTGGAGCCCGTAGACATCTACAACGTAAATGCCGCCACCCATCTTGAGATATGAGTTCTAAGGTCTCAGTATAGTTAGTCAATTTTATTGAATTCTCTGTCATACCGAATGCGTTCACAAACTCGTCAAAAAATTTGTATTATGCATTTCTACAAGCCGTTGTTTTAGTGTAGTTATTGTAGTTGTACACCTGTAATTGTAGCGGGATCTTGCATCACATTTTGTAACGCTTATCTATATCGCGACATATTATCTTTTTGAATCTAATCGCATATTAATACGTCACACACTGTTAGTCTTTCTAGTGTAGACAAATAAAGGAGTGTCAGAGAGTAAATGTAGTCACACTTCATACCACTTTTCCATCATTAAAATGTACCTTAAGATCAAATGATGGTTTGTGTTTTATTCAGTTGCTATTTATCCTAAGTAGGAACGTCAGTATACAAATTGCAACAAAACCGCGACAGCTTTTTTAGGAAACGCATTGGGATAAATTCATTTAATTTTTTAGCATTACCATAGCAGTTAGCAAATTCTACATTAACACCCAATTATCTGTAAGTGATTTGGAATAACGGTTACCTTATTCTTCGGAAGGTATGACTGCTTTTATTTAGATTGTTTGGATGTTAACATAATTTTAAACTATTCTAAGCAGCTTATGAAATAAAAAGTGTAAAAGCGCTAATTAATTCACGGACTAACTGTGACCGATTGTAAAAATTTTACGTTATTTACGGGATTTTTAGCGAATCTTAAAACGGGCCTGTGGGAATTACGAACTATTGCGTTTTAGAGGCAAGAGCGAGGGAGCTTAGTGGTGGTGATGGCTTATGCTTGATGTTTGGAAAATATATTATTTACCAAGTCTCTAACTTGGATCCCTTGTCATACAAGCTCGTAGTACCGATCGCTATACGAGCACTATATTAGTCTGTAACTGGTTGTCCACATTAGGTTTACGGAAACCAATTCTTTATATGGACAACTGAATTTATTTTATTGGCGAATACCATACAAAACGTTCCACAGTTTCAATAACAATTTTGAATTCTGAAGCCTTGACAAGGACTTCTGAGTGCACACGGGGTGCTATTTCTTAAATTTTCTGAGCAAACAATGAACCCATCATTTCGACCTTTGGAGTTTATTAAGCACTAGCTGACCCGGCAGACTTCGTAGTGCCTCAATCGACAAATAAAAGACCTAAATTCTACAAACAAAAGGAATCCGTCCGACGGGGGACACATCAAAGGAAAAACAAAATTGTTATTTTTATTTAATTTCGATCATTTTCATATTTATCTAACCTTTTAAACCTTCTCTGGACTTCCACAAATAATTCAAGACCAAAATTAGCCAAATCGGTCCAGCCGTTCTCGAGTTTTAGCGAGACTAACGAACAGCAATTCATTTTTATATATAGAGATTATGTTATTAGCAGTAGAATACTCACCGGTATGTGTCTGATTTTTGTTTCAGTCGCAATACAGGATCCTTCATTGTCATAATCGCAAATCCCGACACAGTTCTTCACCCAAACCGCGCTAGGGCTCACCTGGGAGAAGCACAAAGGTCATTAAACTTTCTAAATATGAAAGTATTAGCTGAACTTCATTCACAAAACAATCTCCATTAATCGAACACCGCTCCAAGGATAGGAGCTGAAACTAAATAAGATTTGTTTGCGCTTTTTGATACTTGTGTTAACGAAAGTTTGCTGCTTTTAGCTAAACAAAAAACAAAAATATATTTTGACAAATAACGCATTTAAAATCGGTAATAACACTATAATTAGTCATGAAAGTCCTAATGAAATGCGTAATATGACGTAATTGAAATATAACTTGTCTAATCTTCTCGGATTCAACAATTTTGCAATTAAACATTGTCTTATGGATTTTCTTAGTCATTTAAAATAAATATTTGCTTTTTTCATTACGACAATAATGACGTTTGGTACTAAGTAATCTAAATTTCTTATACAGTACTATTTATTTAGGAATACAAGGTGACAAGCTTATGTATACTGCAGTGCAACCTATTCTTATTAAATGCTAATTCATATTTTTGTATCATATCTTAATAATATACATACCTAGTTGGATTAAAATGATTTATGTATTTAAATATATATGAAATATCAGTTTCCGTGATTAAGTGGGTACTTTTCTTTTAGATTAAGGAATTTGGGATATTATTAGAACCACAGCTGTTTTCATAGCCAGAACATTAGAGTATTTACGTAACTTAAATTTGATTATGGATTTAATTTGTTTCATTATTGACACTGTCACATATTTTTAAGTAATATTTTTAATTTTAATGTCGGCCTGCCTCAAAGGCATTGCTCGTGTTCCGTCATTAAAAAACTAATAATAAATATGACATCATGACTTAGCATTTATTTGACGTTTACAGAAATTAATGACAGGCTAATTATGTTCAACTTGGCACCGGTGACGTGACATAGAAGTTATGTCATTTTACGCAATTTAAAATAATAATAAAAAACTTATATAAATATTTCCGTATTGGATTAAAGTATTTCTGCAGATTTATTTAGCTCGTGTAAGCCGGTATCCAACATATTATACTTCAATATAATATTAACACAATTGAATATGAAGGTTTCTAATAACAAAAGTTTTCAAAATCGAACATCTACAAATTATACATTGTTACATCCTAGTCATTTATTTTCTGGAACTTTCGCGAGCTAAGGACCTGATTAACACCAATTCTATGTATGAAATTATAACGATCGCTTTTATTTTACTGAAAATTGTCAGCGAATGCGAAAATTCAAATAACCGAAATGTGACTAAGATTGTCGAGAGTGTAAAGCTATTTTTATTTAATCTTAATAAGTATAAATAGTATAAGCTCGTTGGCACTAAACTTAAACTACTAAGTGATGATAGTTTGACACATGAGTTTCAAGTTTTCCATCCTCCCAAGCGGGAAGGACGATTACTTTAAGCTAAAAATAGGCAAGTGCATTTCTAAGTCTAGGGGTGCTAACATAAACGCGTATTCGAAATACTCAGGGATATTATCCAACGTACCAGCTCGTGAGGTGAGTTAGGTTTTAACTGCACGAAGACATCCTTCGGTTCACCGCATCTCGACTTTTCCATGATGTGGTCCCTTTCGTTGCTGAGTTCTGACGTGCAGACAACTGTCGACAAGAATATGGATAAACTTATCATTTCTAATTTAAGTTGTTACAAAAGCCTGCGAAATACAAATAAGATTTGTTAGAGTTGCTGTAAACACGTGCTCAGATTGAAACTAAATAAAACTAGTATTTAAATTGTGAATTGCATTAGAAACTCCATCAGATAATAAAGTTAAAGTATCAAAGTTTTAATTTTTTTACTATTAACATGATGTAAGTTATAAAAAATTAAATTGTACAGGTTTATCAATGAACGAACAATAAAAATAATTTAGATTTAAATAAAACTAGTTGAGGCTTTTGCATTGCATGCGTTACCTTTGATGTATTCCCCTATCCTGAAGGGTTCCCCAAGGCGCTCGCTGACTCTAGGGAACTGGTGTCTCGCTTGCACGGCTACAACCGCAAACAACACTAAACACAGAACGAGCTTCTCCATCTCTCACTGTCACTACACTGCACTATCCAAGCACGTGCTTCTGCTCCGACGTCGTGTACAGGTCTGCCCCTGGGCTCGCCGGTTCAGTGCTATAAGTTCTGAGGCGGGGCTGAGTCACTGTGATCCTCATGATAAAATTGCGTCACTCAGTGTTTCACGACGTCGCCGTGTTTGAACAGCTGACCGTGACGTAGGGAGCGACGACATTAGTCTTCGGTAGCGATTGTCGGAGAGGCTCACCGAGCGCTCGTGTCAACCGCGTGTGCTACTCAACGCTTTCACTCATGGTAAATTATTAAATGCTTTCCAGATAAGGCGAAGCCGAGATAAGGTTTTTCAATTTCTGTAATATTTTTGAAACGAAGTTCCTTATGGGACGATGCGGAGGGGTAGCCTAACCGAGAAAAAACGTCCGTAACGTAAGATTTTTTATTTATTTATATCTTACGAACGACTGTATACCATGCTAAGAACTACTTGATGGGTAATTCATTTGTTAGTGTCTTACTTTGTTACGTTATACTTAGTTTTTTTTTAAAGTTTGTAATGTATTCTGCTTTATAAGCTTATTAATACATAATTACAGTCGAAAGCGTATTAAAAATATATATACAGTTTAATTCTCCGTGACGATGAAACTGTAAGTATTAAGTACTGCGTGGACATAGGTACCGCAAAAGCGTTTTCAGTATTTAAAAGCTATTCTTTAAATGGATTCATCTAAAAACTTTTAAAATGGGTATTGTTGCACTCGGGTTAACAGGACGATTATTGAGTTAGAGATCACAGATATTTATTAACATCGGATTTAATATGACTTCAAAAATTATGCATTCTTGTGTATAAATAGGTTTTCATCATTTTTATACATTTCTTTTTAATTCATTAAACTTTATTTATTATAAAAAAAAAGAGCATAATATTCCTAACCTAAAAGTACATGTTATTATTCGCAACATGCTTCGTCAAATTTTTATACATTTATCATATCTGTATTTGTGGAGTACTAAGAGAAAGGAGGAAGGTTTTTTTGGAATTTCGTCCATAAAGGGAAATTGTGTAAGATAAAACTGTCGTTTGCCTGATTAACGCGTAGCACGTCTGCTGTCAGCGTAACGCTGAGACGAGACAAGGCCGAGCCTCTTGTAGGAAGGTCATTGGTTGTGTTAAGTGGTGTTATGAATCCGCACGGGTAATAAACCGGTATCCCGCCTATTTCTGCTGCTAAATCATAATTCGTTTTGTATGTTCTCATTGAATGTTTCAAGGTCAGTTCACGCCGCTCTGTCTATTGGCTCCAAGAACCACCCGCTACCAGGTTCTCTATTGCAGATCTGCAACCATATATTATTATGTATAACAGAAATGGATTAGGAGTAGAGGGGTACCGGCAACATTCACGTTTTAGTCATGTGCTTACTATCAAGAGGGCGGTGAGCTTAGTTACTTTTTTTTTTCATAACCATATCCAGTAACGGAACGAGGTAGGTTTAATTTTGACATTTTAATCAAATGTTGTAACTGAGAAGTAATTGAATCAAATAATGAGATAAGACTAATTCATTACAATAAAAATAAACGTCCGCTGAGATACGATAATTTAATTGTGGATTTATTTAATTATAGGATCGGAAGTCAAATGTTATCGATAAAAATTACGACGCGATTACATCATTACTGATATACAAATATATATTATGATGATCACACAGAAAACGTGATGATCGCATTTTTCGAACAGACATCGCGTCTTTCAAGATTTGGTAATATTACTTTATAAAAGACCAAAGTTTTTGCTCTTTATTAATATTTTTGCGCGTGTATGTCTGCACTATCATGTTTTTGCCGCGATGCATACATAGCTTCTGGTTGTAAATTAAGGATGACAATTCTTACGAGTTGCCAGCCCATCTGATATTAGTTGGTTGCTGTGGCCCGTAGACATCATGCCGTGTATGCGGCGAGCCTGTTGGCGGTTCGTTTGAATGGCTGTCACCGTTCTAACCCAAACGCATAACCACTTCTGTGTATTTCACAACAACAATTAGAAAATCACAATCATACCAAGGTTATTCAATACAATCGTGAGCTTAATTAGTTCAGCTGAAAATCGAGCTTAAATCGTGAAATTCATTGAACTTCGAGGAAAAGCGGGGCGCGCGTCACCGCTATGACGTCACAGTAACGGCCGGTACTACGGAACCCGTTACACTAATTCAATAGTTAGCACGTTAATATGTACGCTTGGTCCAATGCACAAGATTATTGTTGAGGTTCAATAAAATTCAATGTCAAAAATTATTCCTAAGAATTATATTATTAAATCGTACCTCGTAGATCGTTCTGTAAAAACACATTGTGAATGAATGCAATGGGTTTTGAAGGGGCATCATGTATTGAAGTTGAACTATTTTCCTACTTGAAGGGTAGAATTGAGGTTATTACAATTTTGTTAAAAAATTCGGTATAATATGTTTTTTTTTTCGTTTTGTTCCGCTTTTAGACTACATATATCGATTTATATCAAATTTGATTCAATCAAAATAAATCAATTGCTTATCGAATTGTATCGAATCTAATTAAACTGAATCGGATTAAGAGAAATTGAATCTTGTTTATTTAATCGAATTTAATTGAATTAAAAGAATATAAATTAAATTAATTGAATCGAATCTAATAAAATTAAAACAAACTGAATTGATCGAATCGAATGAAACTGGATTGAGTCGAATGAATTAAAAATCAATGTTGGTGAATTTTACACAATTCGATTGATTTTGAATGTAGAATTCAATTTAATATGAAATTAAATCGATTTTTTTTTATGTGAAATTGAAACTATGTTTTTGTTTTTATATCTAATAAACAAAAGAAATGAGGTAAAAGTTATTAAATTGATTAGGAATAAGAGCAACTTGTTCAAAGCGAAAGGTATGATTTCCCAACAGCAGAATCAATAGAATGGTGCACTTGTTGATGCCCACGAAACAACAGGCGGGAAACTTTGTAGATTCATGATAGAATAATACCAAGTTTATGATCGAACCATTGACTCGATTATAAAGGATGCGTCTCTACCGCTAGGAAATAATCCTCTCGAACTTCTTTAAAATAACTATTATATAATCATTTAAGTTTACGTCATAATTCTCAGTAGTATTTTTTACTAATTGGCAATTTAATCTATGTTTTAATGCCAACAATGTCATACCTGTCACATTTAACGGAGATTAGTTTCCGCGGCCAGACCACAATGGACGTCTGAGTGTCTGGAAGCTATGCCAATTTTTTTTCTAAGCCATCGTGTCTCTTCGATATTATTGACTAGAGACCTTGAATTATATGGACTTTGCAATATTTATGCCATACATCCATTTAGTTTCCAAAAATTGTTTCTCTCAAGAACCTACTATTCAAACCTGAAACGGTCTACCTCCTGGATTTCTATTTAGCACTGTGACATGGTGACAGACGTGACATTCAGAAGTATTCGTATTTTACTTAACAAGACAAGCTTAGCAGTAGGAACAACTTAAGGTATGGAGGTAGAGTCTGAAATATTAAGCGGCTTTTCAGAATTCATTTAGAGTAACTTTTTGTATCATTAAATAAACAAAAGTAAGCGGTCCACGTACGATGGCCTTGATATTACGACTTTGGTTTGTGTTATGGAAACCAGAAACACATATGACAAGAATAAATTCACCTAAGCTACATACCGAGTACCAAATATTTTAACCAAGGTAGGACTCCGATCGGGAAACGACTGCGGACTCCAAGAAAATAAAAGAAAAGAAAATGTAGTCTATTTGTATTCGTCGCATTTGCATTTCTTACTTGACAGAGCGAATAAATACCTTTACTCGTTAGTACATGCATGACATTTATTATTGTACATATTATTTGTACTGTTTTCTAATAAGAAATAGTACCCAAGTGACTACAATCGTACTGACCTAATTCCTCTATAATAAACCCGCTTCCGCTTATAATTCAGTCCAGAGGTACATATCCTTGACATCAGAAATGCCTAATCACTGCAGGTGACGTGCGGCTACCTTCGTTACCCGGTAATGGTAACTGTTCGCCGATATGAGGAAAACGTAAAAAAAATTTAAAAAAAATCGGTTGTGTTGTAATTGAAATTGCTCTACGCTATCATGGGAGCCGCCGATTATGGGACTCACTGAAAAATATCTTTTTTTTGTTTTTGGTCAGGAGGAAATCGCCGGACACCCACCCTCCGGGGGTATTTTGGAGTCGAACCGACTAAAACCTTATGTCGCTCAACAACCCACGTTCGAGCCTCGCATGAGACCGAACTCATGAAAAGGCGAAGGGGGGAAAGTGAAGCGCTTAGTGCGGAGCACATGTCTCCCATCACCCTCACCCTCGGGACGCCGGACCGGCGGTCGTCGGCGCCACGACCACCAGACCTCTCGGTCGGCAGGCTATCGGGAGCCCGCCTAGATAGCGCCGGTTAGAGTGAGTACCGAAATGTAACTGGTTTAATTAAACTGGTTAAACCTTTTACTGGGGACCTTTACTGGTGGTAGGACCTCTTGTGAGTCCGGACGGGTAGGTACCACCGCCTTGCCTATTTCTGCCGTGAAGCAGTAATGCGTTTCGGTTTGAAGGGTGGGGCAGCCGTTGTAACTATACTGAGATCTTAGAACTTATATCTCAAGGTGGGTGGCGCATTTACGTTGTAGATGTCTATGGACTCCAGTAACCACATAACACCAGGTGGGCTGTGAGCTCGTCTACCCATCTAAGCAATAAAAAAAAAACACTCCTTTCCACACTCTTTTCATACGTTCCATTGTTCCAATCCTATATAAATATATTCACGTGAACATAAACACCAATCACGGCGTATGATATCTTTTTCATTTATTGCTAAGATGAGTCGACGATCTCACGGCCCGCCTGGTGTTAGGAGGTTCCACACATCAACAACGCAAATGCCGCCACTCACCTTGAGACATAAACTTCTAAGTCACAGTTTTACAGTAGAACGGCTGAGCAGAAACACTGGGCGGTCGTACTCACCTGTGCGGTCTC